CTCTGCTTTCCAAATGCTGTGATTAAAATGGTGTGCCACCACTCTTAGCTTAAAATTTATTTAATTTTTATTCATTGTATTTATTTATTTATTTATTTAAATAAAGGCTCATATTGTTAGTTTAAAAACGGCATATTTCTGGACAGATCACCCCAAGCCAGCATAGTTCTTATTTTGGGAGGTCTTCATTGAAAGAGAAGAAGTGAGGAAGAGAAAGAGATGGACTGGGGTCTGTGTTTTTTTTCGGGACCATGATGTAGGTAATGCAGGTGCTGCAGGTAATGCAGGTAACAAATGCACAAGAAGTATGCAACAGTTGCCATGGCATTGGATGCAGGATGGTCCAGTTGCCTAGGGATGACATCATCACTGTGCTCAGAGGCTGGCTGTAAACAGCTTCAGATACTAACATACCTCCTTTATTCTTATCATAAAGAGAAGAAAAGCTGGGCAGTGGTGGCGCATGCCTTTAATCCCAGCACTTGGGAGGCAGAGGCAGGCTGATTTCTGAGTTCGAGAGTTCGAGGCTAGCCTGGTCTACAGAGTGAGTTCCAGGACAGCCAGGGCTACACAGAGAAACCCTGTCTCAAAACAACAACAACAACAACAACAGATTAAAAAAAAAGGAAAAAGGGGGAGGGGAGGGAGAAGCTGATGGTGAAAGGGGAATAGGGGCGCTAGATCTCTTAATTGCTTCCTGCTGTCTAGGGGCGTGGTCAATTTTGGGCGTAGCTGACTTTAACTATCTGGGCACACTTGATAGTCATTCGGCATCAGGCTCCTCTGTGGACAGTGGCTGGCAATCCTGTCAAAGGATTGTGGAGACAAGGTTAATGAGGCAGGGAGCAAATAGTAAAGCAAGAAAAACTAGGAGATGAGGCATTAGGAAGGGCAATATCCATTTCCACGTAGGGTTTTTAAACATCCCAGAATTGGAGGCCTCATATCGTTCCCTGCATTTTTGGATGTCTGATTGTAGCTGCTGGATTTTATTTCTTACTATCCCAGATTTGTTGATGTAGAAGCAGCATTCTTCTCGGAGAAACAGGCAAAGATCACCTGCTTTCACTGTAAGGATATCAAGCCCCATCGGTTTTGAAGCACCACTGCTGCCAGGGAATCGATCTGTCTTTGGATGGTGAGCATGGTTTGGGTGACCTCTTGAAGACCCTTGTCAAGCTGGGAAGAGAACTTATTGTATGGGGTTAGGGAAGTAGTCAGCCCTACCATTCCAGCACTGGTAGCTATTCCTGCAGCAAACAGGAGTGGCACAACTTGACCTGCCCTCTCATCATGTTGGGCAGGTATTGTGTCTACAACCAGGATCAGTAGAAGATCTTTTCTGTGGATTACTCCTAGTTCGGGGAAAAGAAACACCAACATGCAAACTCCTGAGCAGCAGACGACGATATACCTGAGTGCCACAGAGAATTGATGTTGTTTTGGGCTACAGGGCACGGTGGCAGAGATGAGGTTGTGGTTTTATGGTAGTCTAGGGAGCTTAGTGTTTCTAGAGAACGTGTCCCGGATGTCTTAAAATAGTCTGCCATGCCAAAAAGAGAAAAGGTATGGGTCATGGCAGCATCAAAGTCAGGGCAGCGGATAAAAGACGAGGTGAGGTTACTTAGCAGTATCACTGGAGAGGCAGTAAATGCCAATTGTGAGTTACTTCCAGGGGGTACACATAGCCAGCAATTTTTAAAGCAACCAGGCCGAGGTCAGGGTCTGAAGCAGAAGGTGAAATGAGAGGTTAGTGCCATTTATGAGGGGGGATGTCAAGGAAGTAAGGACCTTGGAGGAGTGTTTGATTACTTCTCCTATTTTTCTGATATCTAGAGGTTTGACAATTGGGATATATTTTCTCTGGATGTGAACAGTACTCACTAGGGACCCAGATTGGTTTTTACGATAGAGCTTACCAACATCTCCTGTTTCCTACCTGGGATTCTATGGGTCTTGTATATAGAAGAAAAGAGTCTTGTTTTGTTGATAGAAGTGATTGGTCTGTGATCCTAGCATATGTATCTGGCAAGACCAATATGGGCAGCCCCCATATTCATCTGGCCATTTTTTTTTTTACAATCATCTTTTGTCTGATCAAAGGAGAAGCAAACAAAGAGGTCATCATATTTAGATGGAATGGTGGATATAGGGATGGTAGTAATTTGGATCAGCTCCTGGCATCCGGCTATGGAGCAGTTTCTTGACCCTATTTGGAAAGACTGTTATCAGTGGAGGTTTCTTGAATCTCAAACCTCCAGAAGTAAGTGCTACCCTGGATGGAAACAAACATCAGGGAGAAAATGAGAAGCCCATGTCTCATCCAGTAGGATCAAGCACAGCTGTCAGAGTAGAGTCTCATTTTTCTGGGATTGGGGACAAAATGGGTGATCTTGACATCTGGAACTTAAGAGATCAGGGTCCTGTTGGGATTGATGTGTAAGAAGAAGAGTCATAGCTGAGCAGTGGTGGCGCACGCCTTTAATCCCAGCACTCGGGAGGCAGAGGCAGGCGGATTTCTGAGTTCGAGGCCAGCCTGGTCTACAGAGTGAGTTCCAGGACAGCCAGAACTACACAGAGAAACCCTGTCTTGAAAAAACCAAAAAAAAAAAACCAAAAAAAAAAAACCAAAAACAAACAAAACAAAACAAAACAAAAAAACAAAACAAAAAAAAAAGAAAAAGAAAATGAAAATGCCAGGGCATGTCTAGGGCTTTAGATAGAGTTTGAGAATTTTGGGACATGAATTCAAAACCATTGTCTGACTAGAGGGAGGCTGGGACACCAAATCAGGGGATGATGTCTCGGAGGAGAAGATGAGAATCTGTCTGAGCCCTTTTGTTGGTAGTGGGGAATGCCTCTACCCACCCTGAGAAGGTGTCCACCAAGATCAGGAGGTACTTGGAACAGTTGACAGTGGGCAAGTGGGTAAAGTCAAGTTGCCAGTTGGTTCGAGGAAGGGAACCTCTAGCCTGGTGGGTAGGAAAAGGGGTGCTATGATACCTGGAGTTGGAGTCTGACATCTGACAGATTTTGCGAGAGGCAGTGATAGATTTTAAGAAACTTAAAAGTCCTCAGGAGTTGACTGTAGTGAGTTTTAACATAATAAGATAATGTTCAGCTGTTAGGATGAAAGAGTTTAAGATAAGACAGAGTGTCAGGGGGTGAGGGTGGAGATGCGGCTTGTAGTGTAAGAATGTTCTGGGGAGGGTGAGATGAGTCTAGGCCCCTACGTGAAAAAACAGAGTCACCTCAAAAGTCGAATGCTTCAACTTGAGAGGAAGTAGAAGTTGGGCTCAGTTGCCTTAAGCTCTGGAATTTACCAACTCTGTTGACACACTTGGATGTGGTTTGAAATGTTTTCAATAATGTGTTAGTCATCACACATTTCCTAATGTGATGAATAGTGAAATTTATCTTGTGTTGGAAAATAAACTCTAGATGGTCAAGGACTTGTCTCATAGTCTTATCTACAATGTCTTTAAGTGTGTGTGTGTATCACATGTGTTCAGGAATCCTTAGGGGTCAGAAGATGGCGTCAGATCCTCTAAAACGAGAGTCACAGCAGTTCTGAGGTACCATGTGGGTACTGGGAACAGAACCTGGGAGCTCTTAACCACTGAGTCATCTCTGTAGCTCCCTCTGAGAAAATATTAAAGATCTTTTCTGATATCACAAATCATGGAATTGGAAGCTGGGTATGATGGTGCACGACTTTAGTCCCTGCACTCAGGAGGCAGAGGCAGGTGGGTCTATGTGAGTTTGTGGCCAGCCTGGTCTGCAGAGTAAATTCCAAGACAGCCAGGGCTGCACAGAGAAACCATGTCCCAAAAAAACAAAAAAGAAAGAAGAAGGAAAGAAAGAAAGAAAGAAAGAAAGAAAGAAAGAAAGAAAGAAAGAGGGAGGAAATAAAAAAATTTAAAAAATAGATAAATAAATAAATAAATCATGGCATTCGGATTGAAGAAATCGCTCAAAGGTTAAGGCTGCGAATCTCTGCCCTCTAGAGCTCTTGGAGAATACGTTTCTGTGCTCACGTATGACCCACTAAGGTTGTTTGTTGTAACAGCCAAAGTAAACTTGTAGATAATTCTGACTACTATCACATGAGGACATATACAAATATATACACACAAAAATAGTGCATACAAGAAGTTGTATAGCCGGGCGGTGGTGGCGCACGCCTTTAATCCCAGCACTTGGGAGGCAGAGGCAGGCGGATTTCTGAGTTTGTGGCCAGCCTGGTCTACAGAGTGAGTTCCAGGACAGCCAGGACTACACAGAGAAACCCTGTCTCGAAAAACCAAAAAAAAAAACAAAACAAAACAAAAAAAAACAAAAAAAAAGAAGAAGTTGTACACAGGTATATGCAAACACTATGCGATTTTATATAAGAGTCTTGAGTATGCATGGATTTTGTTATCCATATTTACCAAGGATAACTACTGTCCCTTTGAAGCGATTTCACTATAGTCCTGGAGATCATATTCAGGCCATCAGATTTGCCTAGAAGAGTCCTTATCCACTAAGTCATCTATCTTGCTTACCTTAAAAAAAAATTACATTTATTTATTTAGTGTGTGTGCCTTTTTATCCACAGAGCCGTCTTGCTGGCTCACATTTCACTCTCTGGGGTTTCTAATTCCTTAGGCTTCAGTCAACCATGATCCAAAACTATTAAATGGAAAATCTCAGAAGTAAAGAATCCATACACTTTCCCTTGCATGCCATTTGAGTAGTTCGATGGCATCCGATTCCTCCCTACTGGGTTGGGGCAGTATGAAGCATCCTTCCCCAGCATGTCCAGTGTGAACTGGCACACGTGTGCAGGAGCTGCCTCATTATGCTCCATTCCCACATTCCTTACTTTATGCAATACGGGCCTCAAAGCCCAAGGCTGAGCATGCTGGCAACTTGAATGTGCTGAACAAAACCTCAAAGTGCTTTCCTGCTCTCTCCCTTCTTTCAGCAGAGTTTGAGATGTTATTATACTATTTTAATATAGACTCAAGCAGAAGGGTTAGAAGAAAGAGAGACACTCGGGAGAAAGTAAGACATAAAGAGCGCTTGTCTGTGTGCTTCTCAAAGATGAGCTGTGATTTTTTTTCTTTCAGGGTGGGGATGGGGTAGTTGGGTCTTGCCTGGCTTTCTGCTCAGACTCAGTTATCCTCCTGTCTCAGCTCTCCAAGTGCTGGGACGACAGGCATGTGCCACCACACTGAAAGATTCTAAAGGATTTGACTGCGGTGGTGTGGACTGTGCTGGGAGCCAAAGGCCTTTTTCCTTCAGGATAGAGAACTGTTCCCTTTTAATAGTTTAGGAATGTTCCCCACCCTGCTTCTTACAGCTTTGAGGCTCAAACTCAGAATTTTCACATGCAAGGCCACTGTTTACCTTTAAGCTATACCTCGGTGCTAAAACGTGCTTTCTGTAAGTACAAAGGCAAAACTTCTGTTAATAGAGAAAAGAGGGGCTGGTGAGATGGCTCTGTGGTTAAGAATGCTTGTTACTCTCCCAGAGGACCCAGGTTCAGTTTCCAGTGTCCATGTGGCCACTCATCTCCCAATCCTTTCTAAAACAATCCACTAACTAGGGAACAAGTATTCAATAGATGAGTTTATGGGGTGGGGGTGGCATTCTCATTCAAACCAGTACACATTGCTCCTAAGTATACAAACTCAGGCCTTCAAGCTCGTGGGACAAGTACCTTTATCCACTGATCCATTTCCCCAGCCTGCCACCTTTAAAAAATTATTTAATCTTTTTGTTGTTGTTTTCGAGACAGGGTTTCCCTGTATAGTCCTGGCTGTCCTGGAACTCACTCTGTAGACCAGGTTGGCTTCAAACTCAGAAATCCACCTGCCTCTGCCTCCCAAGTGCTGGGATTAAAGGTGTGTGCCACCACTGCCCGGCTTTAATCTTATTTCTTTAAATGAAATGATCTCATGTATCCCTGACTAGACCTTGAACTCCTGACCCATACACCCACCTTCCTATTTCTCCTTTCCAAGTATTGGGATTACATGCATGGGCCACCGCACTGCTGGGTTTTGTGAAGTGTGGGGATGGATCCAATGATTCAAATGTATTAGGCAAGCACTCTACCAACTGAGCTTCCCCTCCAGCCAAATATTGTATCGGCAACATGATTCCATGTCCATAGAAAATGCATCCTTGTGGGATTTGCTTTTGCATGCATATACTTATTTGTGTGAATGTATATTTGGTATACTGTATATGTAGTATGTAATATGTGTATGTATGTAGTATGCGTACACCAGAAGACAACCTCTGGGGTTAATCTCAGAGCATCATCTACATTCTTTAGGATAGTCTCTCACTGCCTGATCTTAATAACTAGGCTAAGCTGGGTGGCCAGGAAGCTCCAAAGATGCCCCTGTCCCTACCTTGCCAGCCCTTGGATCACAAAGATAGGCTTGGTGTGTTTTATCTTGAGTTCTGGTGCCTGGACTTAGGTTTTCATGATTGTGTGGAGACTGAGCTGTCTCTCAGCTTCCACTCCTTTGTATTGTTTTGTTAAACAAGTGAGGAGATTGAGCCATGGCCTTCTCTTTTACTTGACAAGCGCCACACGAAGTAAACCATATCTCCACCTTCTTTCATTATCTTTCTTTTTTTTTGGTTTGGTTTTTTGAGACAGGGTTTCTCTGTGTAGCCTTGGCTGTCCTGGAACTCACTCTGTAAACCAGGCTGGCCTCGAACTCTCGAACTCAAAAATCTGCCTGCCTCTGCCTCCCAAGTGCTGGGATTAAAGATGTGCGCCACCACCACCTGGCCTTTCATTATCTTTCTAAAAACAGATGAAGAATATGTTCCTTCTTTGAATAAGCCATGAAATTACCATTTTTTAGGAATGGAAATCTACATTATTTCCAAATCTCCCCCCTCTTTTCCCCTTTCCTTTCTTTTTCTTTCTCCTTCCTTCCTTCTTCTTCCTCCTCCTCCTTCTTCTCTTATACCTCTTTGAGAGGGTCTCATGTAACTGGTTTTAAACTTTTGATCTTTCCTCTCTCATCCCCAGGCTAGCCTCAAACTAACTAGGGAGTCAAATCATTTATTCTCTTGTCTCCATTTCCAAAGTGTTGATATTATGTGCATAGGTTATTTTGCCTCATGTTGCTTTCTACCTACCGATAAGACCCACTATCCCTTGAAGAAACACACTGTGGGGCTAAAAAGGTGACTGAGTGTTCATGAGCACTTGCTGCTCTTGCATAGAATCTGGGTTTGCTTTCTAGAACACACAGAGCAGCTCAGAACTGTCTGTAACTCTAGTTTCAGAGCATCTGACACTCTTCTGGCTTCCACAGGCACACATGGGTTTCCATCTGGGAACCAGATTCCTTCATCTCTGCATGTGGTCTTTTGTGAGGCCAGGGTAAGGAAAGAGAGCTTCCTTGAATCCTGCAGTCTGCAAGATTGTTCTTTTGCAATGCTCAGTGTTAAAACAGTGGAGAACGCAAGCAACGGACTAGTTCA